TGGGGGATTAATAACCAGCAGGAGAGTTGGTGGCCCAAGTCTTTTCCACAGGTCAATTTTTCATCTATTTATTAATTTTCTAAGAAAAGTTTGTAAGTCAAGGTCATTACTGATAGGTCACTTATATAAAAATGAATTATAATAACAACAAACCCCACTTTTTTATGCTTTTATTATTCTGGAATATTTATCTGAAGCATAACATATACTCAGTCTTTCTGCCACACTGCTCCTTGTGACAGCTAATATTTAAAATGATAGGAAAGAAATTACATAGATATGTTTTTACACTAATCTTTATTGTCACAAACAGAAGTTTACATAACTTCCTTCTTCCTGCTATCTTTGAGAAAAAAAGTGGGGAAAATTAAAAATCTATTCTTGCACTTTCTGCAATGAACTATCTTGGCTTTTGTAGTGGTAGTAATGATTAAAAAAGCTAAAATTCTTAGCCTACTGGTTGTAGCACAGAGACTATGTTTGCAGATTTATAACTCAGTATGACACTGGCTCTTAAGAACACAATTTCATAATGTGTTGCTACCTTTAATTTTTTATTGTTATTTTTATTTTAACCTTGTGTAGTCCTAATTATTACAAGGAGCTTTGTATCTCACTTTCCAGAGACTGTATTAACTTTCCATTAATTTCTGGATGTAAATCTATGCAACTGTTTTCATCTGTAGTTATATGTGACTTTGGACCTGTCTCTTCTCCTGTCACTCTTTTTAGGCTATGTCTACACCAAGACAGTAGGGATTTCTGAGCCATTCTGTGCCAACTGAAAACTTAAGCTTATGTTAGCAAGATGATGGGATTGGTAAAACAGCATTTATTTGCTCAGGCATAAGGCCATAGAAATAAAGTTTCCTCAACTTTCATAACTGATCTGTCTGTCTTCATAGGTCCTGTGGTGGTCATGATCTGGGAACTTCTGCACCATGCACTGTTCCCTAATGCAGACTTGGCAATAGCCATTCCTGCTAGGTAAGAAGATTCAGTGAAATTTAGATTTATGTGTAGATTCTGCTGATAAAGATGAGCTCAAAAAATATCCAGACACTTAATATGTGATTAACTAATGTTTTTACTATGTTTGTGCATATCCAGTAATTGGTCAGCTAGCAGATGATCTCAGCAAAAAGAATAGTATGTAAACAACAGTGGAAATTGTGTAACGCCTCCTGACTGTAGTCATAGTTAGGGCCTTTGACAGTGCATGCATATTCTCTTTGTTTTCCTTTGTGTTTGTTAAAAGGCTTTCCAAGAATACAAAACCAGCTTCCTTGATATCTACCTGAAAATGTTTTAAAAAATGAGCTCAGACCTCCTTAGAGAGTGAACTGCTCTGCCTTCAGAGAGATACTAGTAATGGAGCTTGAAATTCAAACACTACTTTAAAATATTATGGAGAGCCTCCCACCTTTGCTAGGTTTTCTTCATCTGTGCTTTCCGCACAGGTTTCCTCCACTGTGACTCCATTTTTTTGCAGGCAAGGCTTTGTTTCTTTAGTCTGCTATTATGCTCTGACAAGCTAAGGGAAGCTGTCACATAGTCTATTTTGATGTCATCCAGATCCAAACAGAGGAGCTTTTTGTACAAACAAATCATCATCCTTTCCTTTCTGCCCTTTGCTAGTGATTGGTACATATACTAATGGAATTATAAAATCAGAATTTCATCTTTTTTTTTTTCTCTGTTTTATTTTGGTTTGTTTTTCTCCTTTATCCCGTAATAGGTAAGAATGTAGCACGTATTTACTGATTTGGATGTAAAATCGTTACGTTACTTTACATATTGGGCCTAGTGATGAGTCTTCTAAAAGTCAAATATTACTGTGTTAATTCTTTTCTGAGACTTGCCCAAGCTTTTACAGTGCATTTGCCAGAGATTATCTATTCAGCAAATACTTGGTTTCTGGGATTAAAATCAGACACATTTCCTTCTCATTGTTCAGTGCTTTGTGCTTAGTTTTTATTTTGTGCGTATGTATTTTTGATGTCCAGCTGTATGCTGACTCCAGATTTGACAAGGAATACATTTGTCTTCTTATGATATTTTAATATACATGTATATATTAATATTCAATATATCTTTGCTACTAAACAGTTCTCTTCATATTATAATTCTTTCTCCAAAACTATTTTCAAAAGTAAAATGAACAGAAAAAACAATCGGCACTGGTAACTTTTCAAATAAAGTGTGCAAATGGAAACAATGGAATGGCCGTTCTTCATTCCACTGCTTTGTCTCTTAGGTGTTATGGCCTGCTTTCTTGAAACCTGTATCTACACAAAAAATAAAGCAAACCCCAAACCAACAAACCTATGAAAAGCAGTTTGGAAGAACATTACTTTTGATTTACAGTTAAACACAAAGTCAGGAAATGCAGTTTGATAGTTACTGTATGCAGCCCCCATTCAGTCTGTATTTGCATCTCATCTCTGATACTTAGTAATTCATAGGTTCCAATAAGGAAATATCCCATGGAATGATGTGAATAGAAAATGCATGATATACTTGCACCCAGTGAGGTATATTCAGTATGTGTAAAGAATATGAAATCCAGTATTTTTGAATTTTGAGTGCTTCCCTTGCCTGAGTTAAAGCGATCCAAGTGGTGCATCATGAACTGACGTAAAACCATAGGAATCTTCCTCATCTGGCTTTTCCCCACAGAAAGGAAAATGACTGTTAAGGAAGTACTGTGCAAGGAATCATATGGCCTGTCCTACATCTGCTTATAACCCTCCCCAGAGACAGAGGTTGCTACTGCTTTCATCATAGAAGGAATGGTGAAGGAATCTCTGCCCTAACTAAATCTTTCTGAATTACTCAGAGCAGTTCACTGCTGCTTCTGCCTTCTGGAAGCAGAATGGGAGGGGGTTGTGGCACTTCCAGAACACGGTTTTTCCTGAAGCTGCAAGCCAATTCTAATGTAAATAATAATCTCTGGTATAAATAGCGTTCAATTTACTAGCCTCTAAGAAAAACACGAGCAGGAAAATCTCCATCTTACCCTATGAGGATAAACTCTTAGGTTTATATCACAGGCTTTTATCATATTCGGTACATGACTAACTACATTAGTTGACGTGTAATTACTGTCACAGGAGGAAAGGATTCTGCTGAAGCCACAGGCATTGAGCTGATTCTTTTACATCATTGTTCCATACCTCCTGGCTCTTCCTAGGATGATATGTGCTGCTGCAGCTATATGGCTTGGCGAGATACTTCTGGCTATAATATGTATGCTTAGTTATTACTTTCATATCTGCCAAAAATTTTGGGCTAAATTCAAATGTTAAAAAGACTATAACATGTTTCAGCCATTTATATCACAATTAAAAACTAAGCAGAACCTCTTTAGGTGAAAAAATATCCCATTTGTCCCAGGGAAACTCCCTATTGTATTGGATGTAATAGGTAGACTGAATTTCTAGTAAGAGGTCTTTAGATAATATTTTTATAACCAAAAGGGTTTCTTCCTAACCAAAGGAGTCATCTCTAGCTTCCTTTAATGATCATGATATAAACACTATCAGGACAGAATATCTTCTTATTTGCCCCTTAAAGAACCGTGTTGCCAAAGATTTTCATTAGGTCATTGTTTTAGAGATAGTGATGGACAGTTATTTGTTTCCTGGTACAAAAATTGGCATCCTATTTGTGCTAGATTATTAATGCATGAGGGTAAATAAAACAGTAAGATTAAAAGTCTTATAATGCAACAATTCCAAATGATGGACAACAAGGGAATGCAGAAGGTTTATACTTTGTTTTAGCCTACAGTGTACTACCAGTGAATATCTCTAAACTATGAGATTAGCCGAAGTCCCTCATTAGGAAGCTGAAGATATGTTTTTTGCCTTTGTGAAAAACATCAGCTGCTTGTCTGGGAAAGAAGAGCTCAGGTTCTGAAGCTGCTGCATATAAAGAGAAAAAAACGATTAAATACATCCACATGAAGTAGAAGAAAATCTGCCTTCTATAAGTTTATCTAATGTTTATGTCTTTTCTAAAAATATTTACAATAGGAAATGCTGTGCATGCCAAGTCCAGAAAGATATGATTAAACAAAACAAACAGAAAAGTTGATACCCGCAGAATGGAAAAATCTACCTGACTGCAGGCAGCAGTAGCAGTAGAAAGAGCATTTCAGATGACAGAGGACACTGAAAAATCCAAACTTGTAAATTAAATAAAATTTGAACATTTTATATCTTTCTCTTGCAGTTCATTAAAAATAAAAATACAGTTTTAGCAGACGTGCACAATAGCTTGCTTTTTCCTTATTGTTGGGAGGATGGATATTGGGATTTGTAGTAGCTCCATTGCTCAAGTCACATATTCCTCAGAGTGCAGAGAAGCTATATTAAATATACAAAGTCCAGACAATGCTGTCAGTTGATTCTGGGAAGCCGCCAAATATCTGACACTGGTGCTGCATTAATAGAACTCTGCACTGTGTTGAACATATGCTTCTCAACAGGCACTGTAGTACTGCTTACAACAAAGAGATGGTGCAATTATTTGCAGAACTTTACTTTTGCCAAGAAGAAAATGCAAGATAATTCCATTGAGAGCCAAAACAATTTTGAGATTCCAGCACTTCAAAAATCAAGATGTTTAACTGCTCTAGTAAAAGGCAGTGTAGTTTAGTATACCTAAAATCTTAATTTTAGGTACATATTGTCTTCCTTTATTTGTCCCATTCACTTTCTAGAAATTAGGATCCAAAGTGTCTGAAATACCTTAGTAATGTAATGCAAGGTCTAAGTAACTCAAAACCTATTAAGTCATTCGGAATATAGTAAGTCCATAGAAGCACAAGTCTAAGTGAAACTTACTTTTTAATCTGAAAAATAATTTTAAGTCATCCTAACAAGCAAAATATTGCCAATCCTAACTGGCTGCAGACATCTGTGTTATGAAAGTAGGCACACAACTTCCTATATATCATGTAACAACAGTAGCATTGACTTTTCTCCTCTGCATTCTCTCTTAGAATCATAGAATCGTAGAATAGTTAGGGTTGGAAAGGACCTTAAGATCATCTAGTTCCAACCCCCCTGCCATGGACAGGGACACCTCACACTAAACCATGCCACCCAAGGCTCTGTACAACCTGGTCTTGAACACCGCCAGGGATGGAGCGTTCACAACCACCCTGGGCAACCCATTCCAGTGCCTCACTACCCACACAGTAAAGAATTTCCTCCTTATATCCAATCTAAACTTCCCCTGTTTAAATTTTAACCCATTACCCCTTGTCCTGTCACTATAGTCCCTAATGAGGAGTCCCTCTACAGCATCCCTATAGCCCCCCTTCAGATACTGGAAGGCTGCTATGAGGTCTCCACGCAGCCGTCTCTTCTCCAGGCTCAACAGCCCCAACTTTCTCAGCCTATCTTCATATGGGAGGTGCTCCAGTCCCCTGATCATCTTTGTGGCCCTCCTCTGGACTTGTTCCAACACTTCCATGTCCTTTTTATGTTGAGGACACCAGAACTGCACACAATACTCCAAGTGAGTTCTCACAAAAGCAGAGTAAAGGGGCAGGATCACCTCCTTCAACCTGCTGGTCACGCTCCTTTTGATGCAGCCCAGGATACGGTTGGTTTTCTGGGCTGCAAGTGCACACTGAAGCCAGCTCATGTTCATTTTCTCATTGACTAACACCCCCAAGTCCTTCTCTGCAGGGCTGCTCTGAATCTCTTCTCTGCCCAGCCTGTAGCTGTGCCTGGGATTGCTCTGACCCAGGTGTAGGACCTTGCACTTGGCATGCTTAAACTTCATGAGGTTGGCATCAGCCCACCACACAAGCCTGTCAAGGTCCCTCTGGACGGCATTCCTTCCCTCCAGCGTGTCAACCGAACCACACAGCCTGGTGTCATCGGCAAACTTCCTGAGGACGCACTCAATCCCACTGTCCATGTCACCGACAAAGATGTTGAACAAGAGCGGTCCCAACACCGATCCCTGAGGGACGCCACTCGTTACTGGTTTTCAGCTGGACATTGAGCCATTGACCACAACTCTTTGCATTTGGCCATCCAGCCAGTTCTTTATCCACTGAGCGGTCCATCCATCAAATTGATGTCTCTCCAATTTAGAGACAAGGATGTCGTGTGGGCCAGTGTTGAATGCTTAGCACAAGTCCAGGTAGATGACGTCAGCTGCTCTACCGCTGTCCATCATTTCTGTAGCCCCATCATAGATGGCCACCAAATTGGTCAGGCAGGACTTCCCCTTAGTGAAGCCACGCTGGCTGTCACCAAGCACCTTCTTGTTTTTCATGTGCCTTAGAATGCCTTCCAGTAAAATCTGCTTCAAGATTTTGCCAGGCACAGAGGCGAGACTGAGTGGTCTGTAGTTCCCTGGATCATCCATTTTCCTCTTCTTGAAAATAGGGGTTATATTTCCCTTTTTCCAGTCATTGGGAACTTCACCTGACTGCCATGATTTTTCAAATATGATGGACAGAAGAGGTTTGTTGTCATTATTTTTTTGGGGAGGATGGGTTTGTTTGTTTGTTTGCAAATAATTTGTAATTAATATTCATATTACAACTTGTGGTTGCTGCCTTAGAAACAACTTCAGCAATTAAAATGCATCATAACGTGTAGCCTGCTGTGCACAGTCTCTGTGGAGAAAGCTTTTCTTTTCCTGATGACAGAAGTGCCCCACTTCGTGATGTGTCTGAGGATTTGATGTGTCACTAAGGATTTACAGACTTCATTTGGAACCTGGAATCTTGGTATCCTTTGGCAAGAGGTAGAGAGTTCTGCCTTCTTTCAAAACATCATGTTGATATGCCTCTTTTCAGAGGATAAAAGCACTCATCCAGAATGTTTTAAACACTGGCCATGATTCTTTGCTTTGTCTAAACAGGTATAGATCTGTAGCTGCCCCCGCTCAGGAGAGTATACTAATCAGCAAAGACCAGGGCTCTCAAGCCCTTCTGTTCAAGTTTGATGGAATAATTTTAAGAAAGAAGAGGTGAAAGAATACTCAAATTAACAGCTGAGAAATTTACACCTGGAAAGAGAAACCTGTTTTAGTTCCTACTCCAATGATGTTGACAGAGAGGAACCTCAGTTACAAATATTTCACACTTGTTTATAGATACTGGTCAGAATCTTGCACCAGCTTCTCTTGAATTTCTCCCTCCTTCCAATGGCCAGTACTAATGCAATTAACTAAAGCTCCTTTCTTATCTTTCACCTTCAACTCACCTCATAGCTATGCTTGTGTGTACAAAATGAGTAAAAGCTTCTAGACTTTTTGCAATAGGCTGTGGAGAAACAGAAACTGTCCAACGGGACCTGTTATGTGAAAATAAACACTGAATACATGGATATGCATATTGAAGGTAAATGCACATTGCAGGGCTGTTTCTTCCTTGGCCATGGCTTCATCCCATTCTAGATACCAACAGGTGTCAGTAAGAGTATACAATCTTCTATATCTAGAATAAAACCAGAGAACTGAACTATAAATTGCTGAAAGTCTAATTGATCAAGGAAACACTTTCTAAGCCCGAAGTATGAGAACATTACATCAGGGAAACACTTAATGCAAAGACCCCACATCAAGCCCAGGAGGATGGCTATCCCTTTGGAGCCAGGATATCTTGACCAAACACCTGCTGAGTGGTTATGGAAACTGCATTCAACCAATCAACTTAACTGCAAGTTAATATTTCCACAGGAAAGATTCCACAGCAGCATCCAAAATGCCATCATCACAGTATTACTGGGCTAACCTATGGAAAGTTACCATGCATCTTGTATTAAAAAAACCTCAAAAGCCAATACCCACAAACTGTGCAATTTTCCTTCCAATATACTTTTTTATTATAATTTTAAATTAGAAGTTACATTATTCTAATGTGACATTGCTTCTCCAGTGCTGGTGAGTATTCATTTCTATACATCTGGACACAGTGATTGTTACTGGGACAGCCTGATTTCATGTGTCACGAGTCCATATGCTTGAAATTTTCCAGGCATTTGCAAATTTGTTGAGGTTAATCAAAATATTAAATCTCTTAGATTGTGAAAATGTCTCCTCAGTGCTTTGTGTGTGTGTATAACTAACAGATCAAGCAATGCATAAGACAAAAGGTCTAGATCAAGGGAGTACTCAGATGTGGCATTACTCATCGCTTTGACTCATCCTGAAATTCTGAATATGCAAGATTTTTGTTACTTTGGAATATTTTGTGTAAAAATATGAACTTTGTTTTTACAAAAGAGCCAGGGGTAAGAGAGTGTTCAACAAAGGTTAAACTACCGAAAATCTAAAATCTGCGGAAACGGGATATTCAGTCTATGTTCTTTGGAGTCTAAGTTCTTTTATCTTGACATGGAGGAATGCCCAAATTTATTTTAAACTTTAGAAGTTGTTAATATTTTAATCTAATTTCCAATACATTTTCTTGCCTATCTGCAGAAATTTCAGTTAAAGCTTTTCTTGTCCTACCCAGCATACAATAATGATCACACTAATTAGAATTGAAAAAAAAAATTGGCTAGCACATTTTTTCTTATCTTTTCATTTAAGTCTTTCACTATAGCACCTCTGTAGGAAATGCACATTGATTTAATATGCTTTATTTCAGTGGTCTCTGGTTTTAGCAAGATAAATCAGCAGTTGGGAATCTCTAAAGAACTTTCCATCTTTAACAGTTTCAGAATAGTTTCAACAGGCTCTGGACTCTGGAGAACTGCTGATTACTAGAATTATATTAACTGTTACACAGCTACAGTGTATCCCAGCTACTTGTCCATGTGTAGTTCTAAAATAAAAGAACAAATGAGCTTCCTATTTTATTCCCAGGTCCTGTTCCCCAGGCAATTTACACATCAGAAGGGTGAGCCTTTCTTTTTGGAGTTCAACTTGATGTGGGAGTAGTTCTGGGAAGAGAAATCCTGACAGGTATTTTAAACATGTTCCGACAAGGTATGGCAGACCACATATCAAGTCATCCTTCAGAATCCTAGCAGATGTTGTACCCTTCATGCCAGGCACCCTCATGCCATATGTCAGGAAAAACATCTAAAAACCTAAGCTTCATATGTTTAACATGTTACTTTTAGTAAGACCACATATTATTTCAGACATTGTGAGCTGCACAAAACCAAAACCAAACAACAAAACAAACAAACAAACAACAAAAAAAAAACTCAAACAACAAACCAACCAAACAAACCTAGAACAACTTCTGCAGAAACAAAAGCACCACATATACGTTCAGACCACAAGCTATGCAGTGAGATCAAAGCTATCTGCCCCAGGCAGCTTCGGCTGTAAGCTAAGGAGTGAGGACGTGAGTTCATTTGTCCCACTGAGTTTTGAAGACCAGGGATGTTTCTCTCTGATACTTTTAGCAGTACTAATGTAGCTTGCTATTACTAGAGATGTTCCTATGACTAGTAGAAGTAGGGAGATCCCTTTACTGGATTACATGTTACAAAGTATTTTCTTTTAATGAAATTATATGACATCAATGAAATTATATGGTGGGGTGTTTTTTTCTTTTGATATTTAGGATGCGGGGGTTTGTTTTGTTTGGGGGGGGTTGGGTTTTTGTTTTTTGGTTTTTTTTTGTTTGGATTTTTTAATAAGATCTAGATAAAAATGAATAATGAGATAATAAAAGTAATCAACATTTCAGTCAGCCTTCATTTTATTTCTTCCATCATGCAAAGGAAAGAACACTTCAACAGTAACATTTTATTTTCATTTAATTGTGACCATTTTATGCACTTTTTTTTGCCAGATCTGAAAGAGCATAGAAATTGAATATTAGAAATGAAGCAGAACATGCTATATGTAGTCTCTATTGCATATGGGCAGAAGAAGATCTTGTAAGAGGGAGTTATCACATTTAATCAGGATATACCTGTAATTAAAGTCATCTTGTGTTTGTTTGCTTAAAAATGTTTGCAAGGACTGCAGATTGTTTTTCCTGTGACTAGATTTCAGCACTTGGTTCACTTGGTACCCTTGCCAGGATTAGATTATTAAAAAAAAAATAATTTTTTTTTTCCAATGAAACTGATTTTTTCATTCAATTAATTCATTAAACTTTATCCCTTCCCTTCCCCCCCCTCCCCCAAGAGAAGTTCTGTTCATCAAAAACTTTGGTCAGTTATGATGGGTTGATGAGATTCATCATTCAGCTTTTCCTTTTCTTTAGGAAAAGGAGAAGAACCATCCACTGTACAGATCAGTTGTGTATCCAGACATTAGCTTGCTTGTTAAGACTGCCAACAATTTTACCTGTGTCAGCAAATATATATATTGCTGTAATGCATTTGCTGTATTAACAATGTTTTGTGAAGAAGACATCTGTAATACCCCATTTGGAGGTTTCAATCTACTTTATTATTGTATCTGCCTAAATTTGAAATATCAACTAAAGTACAAAGGAGAAAGAGTGTGGAAAATGATCGTATCTAATAACTTTTCCCTTTTATTTTTTGCATATGTATCCCTTCTTCCCCCTTCCAGGATAACAAGCTGTGTGTGACTGAAAATAAGGCAAATAAACAGTTTTATTCTCTCTATTCTATTTATGGGTTCAGGGGAAAAATTTCAATATGACATGTTTCCTAACAACACAATGTTTTTTTTTTCTCCTGCTCTCTCCAGCCTGAGGAACCTCTTCCATAGAAAGTTCTGAAAATTCTTTCCAAGCATATTTAATTCCCTTCAATAAAGTCATGTGCACCCTTTTTTTTTATTTAATGGACATTTTTCCTCTGAGCATGAAAGTATTTTCTTCTTCTACTCACCCAAACTGAGGTGAACAACCAAAAAAACCCCAAATCCAAACAAACAAAAAAAAAAGTCAAAAAACCAAAACCAGACAGAAATGCATTAGATCAAATGGAAAAACAAGTTTTCAAGAGATGTTTTATTGACATTTACTCTTGAAACAAGGGTTGATAATTTTAGGGGGAGAAAAGCTATTTCAATTTATTTATTAGGAAAACATGTTTCTAATATCAAAGTTCTGAATATATGC